TCAAAAGTGCTTTGTGCAGTTGGTCTCTTGTACTTTAATGTGTAAATATATTTTGTTGTAAATATAAGGTATATTTACAACAAAACAGATTTATTAATATCTATTTTCTTATTCATTTTGGTATATTTTCCTTTCAGTCTAACATTCCTTTCTCTTCTTTCTATCTCCTCACCTACCACTTTCACTTCTCTTCCCTCTCCTCCTCCAGCTAAACACTGTGTATGGCTGTTGTTTTTTGTTAAATATAAGTCTAGCATGCAAATAGATAACAAAACAAATGTACTAACAGTTGTTTTATTATCCATTTTCATAATTTCTCCTTTAGCTTAAGCATGTAAAAAGATGAGATAACAAAACAGACTCACTGGCATTTATTCTGATTCTTCTTGTTATTTTCCCCAAAAGACCAAGCTTGTAAATACACAGTAAAACAAATCAAACAAAATAACTTCTGTTATCCATTTTGTTGATTAACCTTCGAGTCTAGTTTGTGAATAAATAGGATAACAGACTTAATATTACTTCATTATCCATTTTGTTGCACACTGATCCTAAAGTTTATAGTAAGAGGACAATAATTTTGGTAAATTTTCTAACTTTTACTACTTCTAATTTACTTTTTTCAAAACAAGCCCCTCTCAAAAAACTCAAATCCACTTCATTAAAACCCCAAAAGAAAACCTTTTTTCAAGAGTCAAATGGAGCAAACAGTTTAAATACCTTTGCTGACACAATTGCAGATCTGAATGACAACCTGTTGGAACCTGAATAAAGCTGCAGACCAAGAATGGGCAGCTTTTTTCTATGTAAGGGCCACATTTCAAAACTTTTGAATTAACGTGAGCCACATATAACAGAAAAGAGGGAAAAAAAATGCTAGTAAATCACATTTACTCATTCACATATAATTATAAATAACATAGGTATACTTAACTTAGTTTCTGGAACTGATGTAAATGTAATATATTGGAAATATTTGATTAAATATTAGTCACTGCTAGTTTTAAATTAGTTTCAATGTGTCTGTTAGCCAGTTTCTTTTTTTATTAAATTCATTGCAGAAAAACTATTCACATAAAGTTGTAGAAAATAATGTTTGAATTTTTGCTGCATACTTCCTTAAGCTGGGAAATTGATATATTTATTCAAATTTTATGCAACGTGGGCCACAAAAAATATTAATGCAGGCTGCGGGTTGCCCATCCTTGCTGTAGACCATGCTAATAGAAACAAAGAAGTCAAAAGGAGCCATACTTCTACATGCAACCCTTTGCAAGATGTAGTCCCCTGAAATCAGTCTACTTTGAGGGCACAATTGGGAGGAATGCTGCATGCTGCATTGAGACTATTGTGTTTAACTATTTAGCCCAGTGTTTCCCAATGTGGGGCCCACACTCCACAGGGGCATTTGGGGGCAATTCAAAAATGGGTCAAAGTTTAAGTTAACTGTATAGCCACTGTATATGTTAGGGGGCATAAGAATTTTAGAAAGGCTTAGGTAGGGCATAGCACAAAAAAGGTTGGGAAACACTGATTTAGTCCATGTTTGTCTAATATTCAAATCTAAATCAAAATCTGAATACAATAACTTTGTAGATATCAATAGGGCATAATAGAAATTTGAATTTCCTAGTTAAGACAGTTAATATATTACAGAAAATTATAATAACAACCAAGGAATGTGGTTTAATAGTAGAAATGCTGATTTGTTTGAAAAGTAATTTTTTCACTTAGAAGATAATTCAAACTGTCTTTCATAACTTATGATGGAAGTGATTTGATAACATTACTGAAAAACTAAAGATAATGATATAAAAAGATACCATTAAATCTAAATTCCTATTTATTCCACATTTAAGAATTCAGTTGCAAATTTTTTCTTTTAATAAGACTTTTGGACTTCTTTTTGCATGAAGTTCTTGATTCCACCAAATTATGCTTTCTAATGTTCTTTTACACAAACACTGCATTCTTCATTCAAAATAATCTGGAAGCAGATCTTTTAAAAATATGCACAGAAGTTAATGGATTGATCAAGCAGACAATGTCACTAGCCATTTTGTCAATTCTTCTCAGTCTAAATTAACAACATTGCTGCTAGAAGTGGCAGGTATTTAAAGCAAAAAATAATGTACCAATTTAATGATAAAAAAACCGAGTAGAAACCTCTATGTACAGTACTTCTAAAAAATATGTAACTTTTATTGAAACAAATTTAATATAAACTGATAGCACATAACAATGATCCACCTTTTATTACTGAAAATTATTTTTAAAACTAATTATAAATTCTAATGTTTAAGCTGACAGTGATCATATTAGAAGTATCCCTTGATTAACATGGTTAATTAGTCCCCTCAATGCTACTGCATATATCAAAATCTTGTTAATCAAATACAGTATCAGTGTTAAATAAACACAATTGTTAAAGCAGTGTATATTACAACTTCTGTCACACACATAAGGAAATGCATGGCAGAAATTTATGCAAGATTTGATTCACACACAAAATTAATTGCACTGCAATTAATTTTGCATTGCATGTTAATAAAATCGCACATAAAGCAAGGGATAATTGTATAGGGAAACCATGTTAAAGGGGCATGCACTAAATGAAGTTGCACCAAGTGAGATATTCCTGTAGTTATATTTTAGTGTAATTATTGCTGCTTACAATAATTATAATTTCTGTAACAATTTTATGATTAAGTAGATTACTGTAATAGAAATAAGCAAACAAGCTTGATTTCATTTCAAATATAAAAACTATCAAAAAGTGTTATTACAGATCCATGCATTTCATAAAGTTATCATTTTGTGAAACAAAATTAAATACTTGTTAAAAAATTTTATAGAAATGTCAAGCAAAAATGTTTAATTTGTTTTGTATAATTTATTAAATTAAGAACTATTAAATATCATATAAGGTTATTTTGCAAGTTGACAAATTTGTCTAACAATATACCAACGAAAATATTCATGCAAGGTGTGCATGATTCCTGACTTGTTTACAAAGTAGTTAAATTTGTTGCCAAAAACTATTTTAGCTTTACCAAGTAATAATTTATAGAAATTTTTACAAAAGTGTTTCTTCACATTTCAATACAATAAAACAATCAAAACAGCTTAACCATATAATTTATTTTGATATGTTTAGTTGTTCAATTCATAAAAGGCAGGAATTTCCATAGAATTATTAAAAAGTGTATCACTGTGTGTAAAAATTTTAAGTAGTAAATAGTAATCAAATTTTATGCAAAATAACATTTATAATTATATAAATATTTTTCAAGACAACATAATAAGTACAAACCAAACAAAATGAAATATCTAAGGAATCTAATTTGTTTCTATTCAATACTAAATTTCAGTGTGTGTTATCACTTGAAAATGATAAAACTCAACTTTATCTATATTCCAAATTAATCAGTTAAGGTATATCAAACATTAACTTAAAATTCTGAATAATATTGCATACAGTTTAATACAAATAATGGTAAATTCTTTTATATGAAAAGATACCAAGAACAATGTTTTTAAAGGAACATTTAAAGTAATATAAAATGAATAAATATATATTAATTTAAATAATAAACTTTGTATCTATCTCTCTCTCATTGTGTGACAGATCACAAAGTATATATTTTTGAATCTAAAATTCATATCAAAAACAATTAAATTATTACTTTTTCCCCTCACTAACTTTATTTTTAAGCAGATAAATATTTTTTAATATATTTTGTCATCAATATTTCAAAGTATATATTTCTTAAAATTTGTGATATTTCTAATTCATTATCACATACACATAACATCATGGTATTTTAGAGTTACTTAATGTTCAATGTCAAGTTAATTTTAAAGAAAACTCTATTTTAATTGTTGCAATTTGAGGCTGTCATCCAAATTCAGAACAAAAACATTTAATATTTTGGCTACCTGGAATAAGTACTGAAACTACATATTTCTAATTTGTATAAATTAAGATACTGCTTTTTGCATAAGATACATCTAACAATATTGTCAAAACACTTACACAACCAAAACTTCAGCATTCATGATATTCAAAACACTCATAAAACAAGTGTTTTGAATAATATCCAATATTTAGTGCATTTATTACTTAACATTATCATCATCATCATCATGGTATGTCATCATTATGTAGTTTGAAGTGACTTTTCAGAGCCGATAGTTCTTCCAGAATTAAACTCAATCAACAAGAATGTACTATTTAGATATCCCATAAATAAAAAAAAAGTAAAACGAATAGACAAAAAAAAAAACAAACTTGTAGTACATATAATGTTGAATATATAAATAAAATATAAACAAATTAATATATATAACATCATATGATAGCTACCATTGCAAGTAACTCAAAATAATACATTACATAAGTAACATTACTAGATTTCAAACAACATTCCTGTAACTTTTCCTATATTATTACATACATAAAAGAAAAAAATATACAGGATTACTATATTTATATACACACGTACATACCATATATATATATATAAAACACCACATTTGTAGTTTAATAATTAGGAAGAATTATCCTAATTATTAAATTTTAAGTTAAATACAAAACAATAAATATGTTAATATGTAAAAATTAATAGCTGTAATATATTTAAAAATAGAATTGAAGCTATATCGTAATCAACAAAATAGTTACGTGCAGATTATTAGATATTAACATATGGAAGAGAGTCATTAAAGCACATCAACAAAAACTCATCTTTTTATTAAGGGAAATACATTCTTATTACTTAATATTTATTTTGAATGTGATGTATTATTTATTCTAAATTTGCAAGTGTGAATTGAGTGAAATTGACCAGAATTTTTCATAAAGATTATGCAGAAAATCCGGTTTTGAACAGATGAGGGGGAAAAAATATACAAAAATGGAAGGGAAAATGATCTTTTGGATGTATTTAACAAGTATTTAAATCACAGGTCAATGAAACTTATCTTTTTAACCAACTTACATTGTTCAAAGGCTGTGATATTTCTCAACGTTGATAAAACTAGTTTTATCTGCTTAAATTGCCAGGTTAAAAGAAAATATTCGAGAAGCTTTTTTGTATGTCAAAGGCTGGAGGAAATGACTATTAGGCTTAAATTCGAAGAATGATTGAATATGAAGAAGTCATCTAAAAATAAAATACTATTTTCAACTATTCCAAAAACAAATCTTAAAATTGAAAGAGAATTAAATTATAAACGGCAAATAAGTAGAAATCCTCAACTTTTTTTGTGATTTTTACCATTATTAACTGGTGACGTTATTTCCGTGATTAGATTCATTGATACGATCAAAAATGATAAAATTTCCGTTTAATCATTTTGTTATGTATTAGTGAAGAAATTATACTTACTACTTCGTCGCTACACATTGAAACCGCAATTGTTTTCTCGTTATCCACTTTTACCCGCGGCAGACAACGACTCAAACCAAAATGCAGCCGAATGAACGAAATGGCCACCCACGATGACGTCACAAGAAATTCATTATCCTCGTTAGCAAAGAATCTACACGTTAACATTCTCCCTCTATCGTCGACAATATTTATTTTTCGTTTCTTTTTAATTTTTTTTTTTATCAAAATAATAATAATTTACATTATTTAATATATAGTATCAAAATATATTAACATTTACGTAATAACTATTAAAAAGTATATTTCAATAATATTTTCATATTTTTTTACTCATTTTGTGTCTCTATCTAATGGGCCTTTATATGGAAATATGAAAAAGGCCTCTATATGGCCTTTTTCATATTCGTTGAATTTTGTCATGTCCATAAAGGGGCGACAGAATGGTGAAGGATGCAGGCTGGAGAGTTGAGGAGGTTAAGGCCTCAGTTTACTGCTATGGGATACCCGGAATAGAATCGGGAGCAATCCAGAAATATTTCGGAGTGATCTGTCCTGGATACATCGTGTTGGACCTCGCCCTTCACCACCCGGCCGCTCCATTGTGGGCCTAGCCGAATCATCAATGGGCCTTTAAAAAAAGGTTGCTTTAATACCCACATAATGAAAAGAATAAACAAATAATGGTGAGTTAGGCCCGACAGTTGCTTGTCCAGATTCGATTCTGGGTCCCCAGAACAATAAAAAGCTGAAACCTTAGCCATTTGGCTATTGTTTCTCAATCCGTGTACAGTATTTATAAGCTGCTCTCACTTAAGTTGTTATGCTTAAAAATTCTGAAGATATTTATTTGATTAAACATGAACAAAGCAGTTGAATTCATAATGTATTTTTTAATAATTCTAAAGTGAATTATGTACAATACATTGATTTTTCAAAAAGATTAAATTTCTCTTTGAATGGATTATCTACAGACAGAAAGCGCGAAACTGCAAAAAAAAAAAAACAGATTTGAAATCCGAGCTGAATTTCATTCATATTTCCATTTTAGTGAGCAAATCATAAAAGCTTGCTTGATTTACATTATAAATAAGTTCCTGATTATATTTCTCATTAAAATAATTGAAGTCATTTATATGATTGCCTGGGAACACTAAGAGAGTGCTCTTTTCCATATCCATTGTGGGTTCTCTCCAAACCCACAAGGGGGTCAACCGCGCGTGAAAAATTTTAGAAATTTTTAGACTGCTAGGATTGACCCTGAGTTTCCCAGAGCGTTAGACTGACATCTTAACCCAGCCATACTCAAGCTTTTTTTTCCTCGAGCCACATGTATATGCTTGTAACATTACGCAGCCCGCGACATAGTTTGCTATACATTATAAGATAATTTTAAAAATAAAACTTAAAAACTAAATGTGACCAAGCGTTTATTTAAAAATCAGTGCAAAATTCGATATTAAAACGAATTTCTGACTATTTTAGACAAATCAGATTTATTAATTACTACATGCTACTCTCAAAACGTCATCAAGCTGAGAATCAACACACCGATTTCTATATATGTTCTTTACATATTTCATTTTAAAATAGAATGATTTGCAAAGTTACGTCGATGCAAACAACGTGAGAATCAAGCCTGCATACTTTGCTGCACAGTCTAGTATTTGTCAGCACTAATTTCCAAAACTCTGCGTACTCCTTTCCACTCTCTTTTCTTTAAAAATAACTTCCAGATTAGTATCGTTTATTGAACTCGATGAATTCGTTGAATAACTTTGCATAATCATATCGAAATGTAGTTAATTGTGTAATAGTTACTGTTTCTAAGTGCCAGAGATTTTCTAGAAGCAACAGACAATTCTTAACATTTCTTAAATCTTGAAATCTGCTCTTAAATTCCTCGGATAGAGCAGTCAAATAATTTAACATGATCTTATATTTTTCTGGCAAAATGTCAATACTATTTTTTAAAGCTTTTGTTATAGTTGAAAAATTATAAAGTATTTGATTTTGTATTTTCTCGTAATAAATGAAGGAAATACTTTATTCGCCATTTGTGAAATAATTTTACTTTTACCCTCTAAACCACGATCGTTATCACTAAGTTTTTTGTGGTGTCGCACAGAAAGGCTACAATATACCACCATCCATAAGTTTAATTTCGTTGTAAACACTTATTGTTTTCTTGTAAAAAATAAAATCATTTCTTGCTGTAAAGAAAAAATAAAAAGATCTAGAACTTTTCCTCTGCACCAACGTATGTAAAGTAACGTCGCTATAATTACTGTTCATTTCTTCCAAGAGATTTTTGAATTTTCTATGGTTCAGTTCTCGTGCTCTGATATAATTCATCATACTTATGAATGTTTCCATCACAGCGTGTACTTCGGCCATGAAAAAACGTCCTGCGGAGTTTTCTTGGTGAATGATACAGTGAAATGATAAGAGATTTGTTAAATTGCATTTCTTTTTCAATAGGAAAACAAATCCTATTTCAGATCCCGTCATTGAAAGACATCCATCAGTGCGTGCACAAACCAGTATTTTAATATTAACATTATTCTTATCCAGAAAAGTACTAATAATATTGAGATAATCTGTGCCTCTGATTCGTTTTTATAAGAAAAATTTCAAAAAAATCTTCACAAATTGAATTCTGTTTAGCACAGTATCTAACGAAAACGGGGCATTGTGACGTTTCTGAAATGTCGGTGCTGGAATCAAAAGCCAAGCTAAAATATTTGCAATTTTTAAGTCTTGTATGATGCGCTCAGAAATGTGTTTTACAATACCTTCAATAAGTTTAACGCAGAGAGAATCAGAAAGCAGGATTTTAAAAATTTGCTCTAACACTTGATTTTTATTGCTAAAATTACCAAATAATACATTGGAAGCATTGATGAAACATTCCTTCACAGCCTCTGGGACAGTAAATAGTTTAAGATGTTTACCAATTATCAAATTTCATGTGATGTTCTCGTAACTGAAATAACATTTTGTTGCTGTTGCAATGACTTCTTAAAGAAACTTAAGTTTTCACATCTTGTTAAAGATCTCTAAGAAAAAGTGTTATTAAATGATTTGTGTTTCCTGGTATATTGACGAACAATGTTATATTTTTTTATATTGCACTTTCGCGACAAATCAACAAGTTGCGAACCGTGTTTATTTGGCATAACAAAATACGATTCTTCCCAATTGTCTCAAAACACTATTTTTTTCGAATATTTTTCTTTGCGCGTGTCTCGAGTTTTAAAAACTTTTGCCAAATTGCCAGAAGTTTTAAAAATAAGTACTTAATGAGTGTGTGTTATGGGTCGCACAGTGAAGCTTGGCGGGTCGCCTGCAACCCGCAGGCCTTAAGTTGAGTATGGCCGCTTTAACCCTAGGCCATATAGGACTAAAATTAATATTTAGAATAAATAAAATATTTCTTTTATAAAGCCTAAATCGTAACAAGTGTTTAATATTCTCATTTAATATTATGATATAAAAAATAATTCCATGGAGTTGGGGTTAGTGGATTAATAATTCAGGTTAAATACAATATTCTTTCATTTAAAAAATTAAACTGATTTATAAAAATTTTACGATTTATAACACTATTGTATAATTTTTTCACATTCAATGCTGCATTTATTATTTCGCATACGTCTGCCATCTTTTTCTCTCTACATATCAGATAAAATTGACATGATTTACATTCTTACAAGATAAGTTTTGAACCAGCATATTCTAATCGTAATATTTGAATTTATCACTAACTACGAGAACAATATACGAAATTTAAGAGAATACGAAATTTCAAGATATTAAGCAATTATCCGTATTTTTTAAAAACTCCACCTTGTAGACACTAAGATGGGCATTTCTTCACACCCATCGCGAGTTGAGCCATTTCTACGATAGGAATGGCCAAGTGGTGAAGGACGAGACCCGACATATCCGGGACAGATCGCCCATGATAAAATTTTGGGGTTTTTCGACCGTCTGGATTCGATTCTCGGTCTCCCACAGCTGTAGACAGACTCCTTAACCGTCTCGGCCATCCGGTCGACTAGTAATAGCTGGTCGTGGGTTCGAATCTCACCAACGGAATGGACACAAGCAGTTTTTCGAATTTTAGATGTTACATACGTGAAGACGTATGTAACATCTAAATAGGGGAGAGTTTCTCACAGAAAGCCATCCCAGGAGGCTTCCTTCTGCCAGACGCCCTCCAGTTGCGTTGCCATCAAATCAAACTGTTTTTGTTTATAAATTAAATTATATAAATTTTCATTTAAAACACACTTACCTGATTGATATCGCGTAAATAATATAATCGAAATCTATTCACAATTATATTCTCTGTTAATAAAGGTTTATAATAAAACGATAAAAGAATTCCTGCAATGATATTAATATCATTGACGTCTAAGATTACTTATCAAAATTTTATTCTGTTTTGTAGCTCATATTCTGGGGTTATAACAACTATTTTAATGCGATAAATCAATCAATGTACGAGAAATTCTAATCTATTTTTTGATTAATGACTGATACTCAATCTTCGAAAATTAAATTGAAGTTTTATAACAACATTATGAATATTCTGTTTAAATGTAGATCCTTATCAATTTCAGATGTTTATTTTCACAAATACGCATCAAATTATATCAGAATCCATTTTTAAAGTTATTACAGTTGAACCTGTAATGGTGGCTATCTGCCAACGACGGCCACCTCTAGACGGCGGCCATTTTTCCGGAAACTTTTTTGAAACAAAAATGCATATAAGAAACCTTCAAACAACGACCACAATTTTTTTAATATTCTCATCAGCTGTCGTTGTTCAGAGATTTCACGGTATTTTGATTTAAAAATTCATACACTGAGCGTAATTTATACTAAATTTAAAAATTTTGAATTTTCTAAAAAGTAAAATAAAAATTTTTAAACCTGCTTTTATGGTATTTTTCTCTTATAATAATATAGCCTGTATGTAATTTTGTTACATAAATTAAAAGTGTATTATTATAAGAGAATAATTTTTAAAATACATGTATTTTTTATCGTAAAAAAAGTATTGTAGCGCAATAGCCCTTTAGCATTTGGCATCTTTATATGTAATCCAGGTA